CGCGGGAGCTGGGGCAGCGCGCGCCCGTGATTCAGCGCCTTTTCGTCGCGCGGTTACCACGGCGACGCGCGCGCACGCGCCCCTAGCGAGGGGCGGGCCGCGGTCCCCGCCCAGCTCGCGGCTCCCAGGCGCGGGGCACCTAGCAGAAGGCTTTTGGGAGGGAGGGCAGCCTGTATGCCCACCCCTTCTCCTTCGCCAACCGCTTCCCTGTCACCATGATCCTAGACGGCCAGGGGGATGAGCCCCCTTTCATATGCCCGGGCCAGAGAGGTTCGAGGAAGCCAAGAGCGCACCACCTGGGTTAAAGACCCTTCGCGAATGTGTCCCCCGAAGGGAAGGCACCCCACATGCACAGGCCCCGCTCCTCCCGCGGGAGCCTCTTTGGGCCCCACTATGTCTTGAGCACGTGCTACTTTCTGATTTAGGTTTGCCGGTGCTGGATGGGGTCCCGTCAACTCCGTGCGTTGTAAGTTAACTAGGTGCCCAACGTATTTAGACTGCATTTGCGTCTATGGGAAGGTGATGATCTGAACCACAGAAAAGTCACGAGGAAGCCTCTTTCTTGCATTTATTCTGTTTTCTTACCATAAAGATGCTCAAGCATCTAGGTATGGTAACATAGGGCAGAAAAAGAAGCCAGGGCATTCCTCGAGCATTCCCATGCCTGGGAAACATACAGCACTGAGCCTCACAGACCCGATGCGCAAGCCCCTGCTAGGCTTCTCGATGGCTGCAGATAGGCCTTGGACGACTTACATAATCTTGCTAAACCTGTTTCCTCAATTATAAAATGGAGATAATAGCACTCATATAGGACGATTGTGGTAATTAAATAATGAACACTGAAAGAAAAACCTGTCAGGACTGAAAGAATGGAAATCAGATTGGACCAAAAAGAAAAAAACCCTGCCATTGATCAGGCTGGGAAGACACAGATGAAGCCAGAAGCAAGTTAAGAGGAAATACTGTTTCTCCCAAAGTCATGCAATCAGGATGACTTCCCCAGATGTCAGAAGAACCTTAAGAAACTCACCTCTTAAACTCACACCATAAATGACTTAACAATCCTCTCTGTAAGTGACTATTGCTTTCTTACCCCAGACGCCCCCCTTGCTTTGCTATTCCCACCCAGACTGGCGATGCCCGGTTGCTACGCTCTCCTCTGCTCATGAAAGACCCAATCTCTAGTTAACCCCTTTCTTTTCCAATCTGCCTCTGAAACAATAACCCAAGACCGTCACAGAATCCTTCAATGGGAACCCACACCTTACAAAAGGTACTTCCCTTTCTCCTCTCACCTGGCATTCCACAATATCCTGAGTGCCCTCTCACTGCACCAACAAATCTGACTTAAGACAACAGGCTTGTTCCCAAAGATCTTTAATACACGTGAGCTTAGCCCAGAATGTTCAACTTTTAACATTTTTTAAATCAGTGCCATTACAATGAATACCTATTTTGATACACATATAAATTTAGAATCTATTTTGGTACTGCATGAAAATGTTAGTCTGCCTCCCTAGGACCCTATCCACTTCTCATCCGCATTTAATGGGCATTTTTTGAGCTCTTGCTACATGCCAGAGACTATAATAAATATTAAGGGTAAAAGTATGTATCTTTAATACAGCTTTTCTGACTTTGCTCTTGTTTATATGCTGTTGGTTGGGATATTTGTCTTACCAAACTGTACAAGAAAGACCGGAATTACTCTATTTTGAAGGTGGGAGAAACTGAGGTCTAGCAAGCTTCAAGTATATTCCACACCAGGCGCAAAGAGGTGTTTAGCCTATTGAAATAAATACAAGATTCTGGGTTGGCATTTCCCCAACGGAAGTAAGGTACTCAGAGCTACTATACTGGAAAAATTTGAGAGCCAAAGTAAAAAAATTCAAGATATTGAAAATTAGTAGGTTCTTAATTCTTGCATTTGTTGGGAATGGTTTAGGGGTGCCTGTCGGTTGAGCGTTCCACTCTTGATCTCAGCTCAGGTCTCCACCTCAGGGTTGGGAGTTCAAGCCCCTCATGGAACTCCATGCTGGGTGTGGAGCCTACTTTAAAAAAAATTAACTTGTGGGGCAAATGGCTGGCTCAGTCAGAGGAGTGTGCAACTCTTGATCTCAGGATTGTGAGTTCAAGTCCCACATTGGGTATAGAGATTATTTAAAAATAAGTAAGTAAACCTTTTAAAAAAGTGATTTAATTGTTCCTGTGGACATCAGTCAAAAATGATTTCTTAGAAATTTGTCATTATAAACAGTAAATGGGAAAGTATTTCACTTGAATGCTCTGAGTCATATAAAAAAATGATGCTCCTGGGGCGCCTGGGTGGCTCAGTCGGTTAAGCGTCTGCCTTCAGCTCAGGTCATGATCTCAGGGTCCTGGGATTGAGCCGCATGTCGGGCTCCCTGCTCGGTGGGAGCCTGCTTCTCCCTCTCCTCCCCGCTTGTGCTCTCTCTCACTAGCTGTCACTATCTCTCTCAAATAAATAAATAAAATCTTAAAAAAAAAGAAATGCTTTCAAGGTTTTCAAACAATTTGATAATTATTTAATCTAATACACAGTACTATATATTCTATTTTTTATAATTAGCCTTTCATTCATCTAAATTTTTTTTATAATGTGATGTAAGGTATGGTTCTTTCAACAATTATTCTTCCAAGTGAATAAGCAATTTATGCCAAAAACATCCTTTTCCTATATAAATGAACTATTGCCTCCATAGTGTATGCTATTAGCATTCTCATTTGAAATGATTAAATAAGTATAAACAAATCTCCTTTCCATTGTCACTACAAAGGGAATATTATATATAAATTCAGCTTGTCTTTTTTTAGGTGTTTCCGCTGTTAATTTTGACACCCCTGATGAAAATGAGGCTCTGTGACTTCTCATTCTAATTATTCCCCCTGGCTTTCCTTTTTTACACTGAGGTTGTCAGTGTATGCTTGGTAGTTCTTGGTGGCTTGAGAAGCTTCATAGACGCAGTTTTCTTCCTCACAAAGGTGAGTAGCAACAGTGGGCCAGAAACAGGAAGCAGGTAAAAACTTCAATCCCATCATGGGCACAAAAGCATACTAAAACAAACTATAAACAAGTAAAATTCTTTATTTAAAGTCCATTTTTTTTTTTTACAGGGAGAAAAGTTTCTTTAAAGCACGTTTAAAAAGTGCTCCTTATCCCTCTCCTGTAAAATAATTCAATTTTATAAGAAGTAAAACTAAAAGGCTATTCCTCTTTAAACATTTATTTTTCTCTTAGGAAAAAAGCCCAAATGCAGCTAGAACACCGACTTTAATCATTATCAAGCCTAATTTTGCCTCTGTTGGCAACATAAACAGCGACATGTTGACAAACATGAGTTTTAAAAAGTAAAGGAATTTCAAATCAGAAGATTTCATTTATAGCTTACCAATCACATCCTCTTAACTGACAAAAATAGAGTCTGGTATAGGACAGTTGCCATCTACTCAAATGGACATAATCATGGCTTTTTTCATTTAAGATTACCTGCATTAAAAGATCCACTTCCCCCAAACACAATAACCTCTTATTTTTATTTTTAAAGATTTACTTAAAATATAAACTATTTAGTGCCTGATTTTAAAAATAAAATATAAAGGCTAGCCCAGGGACAACATGGCCCTGCTTGAGAACCAGCCGGCAGCTCTGAGCAGTATTAGGAGCTCTGACGGTCTTGGTGGCCTTTATGAAGAAGTCTCATATTCTGTATGCTTTAATTTAAATAAACCTCAATATTTAGTTCTGAAATTTAAGGACACAATCCACAAAATAAAAATCACAGTAGTGTTTTCTTCTGTTACAATGATGTAGTATATTAATTCCTCCATATAACCTACCTTTCCAGACAGGTAGAAATTACCTTTACAAAAATCCAGAACAAAATTACTCAGAAGATAGAAAACTCTTATTTGGAAAGCATTTCACAAGATTACATCGAGGTTGCACAGAAGACCCCAGTGATCACTAGGAAATCTACCACAGTCCAGTTTTTCCAACCCGAGGAGGTCCAAACTTTGGGGAACGATATGGCCACTTTCTGCTGCTGTCCTGAAAAATATTCGATCAAAACGAAGCTTACAAGCAGCAGATATTCCAAGATTAGAGTTCATCTGTGTATCCCATGTATACTGGCAATGCTTAGGTTTGCCCAAGAACTCCCAGACATCCAAAATGTTGCTGGGTAAACCACCACACTGGGTGACCTGAAATGAAAAAGAAAACTCTTTAAGATTCAGTCCTTTTTCTCCTAAACTAAAAAAGGTTTCACTATTATGTCTAAGTGCAACATTTCAAATCAGAACGTCACAAATTACTGCCCCAATGCAAGATTATGTATTAATATTAAATATATTATAAAATGTATTTTGCTGTATGGTAATAAGTAAGTAATATAAAAATACCTAAACAGCCAGAGAGGTCTGGAATTTGCCCTTCTCTTCTGCCGTAAATAGATTCCTAAACTCTGGGTAGCCGATAAAACTTAAAAGGCTGGAAACTCACAGCCTCTGTTATTGCTATTAGTTTTTGAAAAATGAACACAAGTGGAAAGCAGGCAAAACTGTTACTCTATTTTAGTCTACAAATGTAGACGTATACCATGTCTGTGATCGACTAAGGTCAACTGCCGTCAGTTTCATTTGAAATTTAGTATCAAATCCTCCTCCCTCTTCACACTCCAGGATTTTAAAAACACTTCACTGTGGTAAAATACAGGCATACCTCCTTTTATTGCACTCCACAGACACTGTGTTTTCTCCAAGCTGAAGGTCTGTGACACCACTGCATTGAGCAAGTCTGCTGGTGCAATTGTTTCCACAGCATTTGCTCACTTCGTGTCTCTGTGTCACATTTCGGGAATCCTTACATTTCAAACTTTCTTACTATTTCTGTATTGGTTACAGGGATCTGTGATCAGGATCTTTGATATTACTATTGTACTTGAGCCCATATGATGGTGAACTTAATGTTGTGTGTGTTCTGACTGCTCCACTGAGCAGGTTTCCTCTTAGGAAAAAAGCCCAATGCAGCTTTTCCCTCTTCTCTCTCCCGCTCCGTGCCCTGAGACACAATATTGAAATTGAGTCACTTGTCTCCCACTTTAAATCGAAAGCTAGAAATTATTAAGCTTAAAGAGGAATGTATATCTAAAGCCAAGATAGGCCAAATTGTAGGCCTCTTGCCCTACGCAGTTAGCCAAATTGTGAATACAAAGGAAAAGTTCTTGAAAGAAATTAAAAGTGCCACTCTGCTGAACACACATGCATAGTGAAACAGCATTGCTGTTGATACGGAGAAAGTTCGAGTGGCCTAGATAGATCACACCAGGCACGACATTCCCTTAGGCCAAAGCCTCATCCAGAGCAAGGCCCTAACTCTCAATTCTATGAAGGATGAGAGGTGAGGAAGCTGCAGAAGGAAAGTCTGAAGGCAGCAGAGGTTGGTTCTGAGGTTTAAGGAAAGAAACCATCTCTGTAACACAGAAGTGCTAGGTGAAGCAGCAAGTGCTGATGGAGAAGCTGCAAGTTCTCCAGAAGACCGAGCTGGGAGAGTTAATGAAGGTGTCTGCAACAGCACAAGATTGTCAATGCAGATGAAGCAGCCTTCTATTGGAAGAAGATGCCATCTAGGACTTTTACAGCTAGGGAGGTCAGTGCCTGGCTTTGGAGCTTCAAAGGACAGGCTGACTCTTTTAGGGGCTAATGCAGCTGCAGACTTGAAGTTGAAGCCAATGCTCAGTCCCCATTCCAAAACTCCAAAGGCCCTTCAGAATGATACTAACTCTGTATGGAATTGTTCAATCACTGTATTTTACTCCTGAAACTAATATAATACTGTATGTTAACTGTACTGGCATTAAAATAAAAGCTTAATAATAAAAAAGGATTATGCTAAATCTACTCTGTGTTCTACAAGTGGAACAACAAAGCCCGGATGACAGCACATCTGTTTACAATATGGTTGACTGAGTATTTTAGGCCCACTGTTGAGACCTACTGCTCAGGAAAACAAAACAAAAAACTCCTTTCAAAATGTTACTGCTCACTGACAATGCACCTGTTCACCCAAGAGCTGGTGGAGATGGACAATGATATGAATGTTGTCTTCATGCCTGCTGACAGAGCATTCACTATGCAGCCCATGAAGCAAGGAGTCATTTCCACTTTCAGGTCTTATTATTTAAGAAGTACATTTCATAAAACTATAGCTGCTGTATATAGTGATTCCTCTGATGGATCTGGGCAAAATCAATTGAAAATCTTCTGGAAAGGATTCAACATACTAGATGCCACTCAGAACATTCATGATTCATGGGAAGAAGTCAAAATATCAACATGAGCAGGAGTTTGGAAGAAGGTGACTCCCAACCCTTGTGGATGACTTCGAGGGGTTCAGGATTTCAGTGGAGGAAGTCACCGCAGATGTGACAGAAACAGCAAGAGAACTAGAACTAGTGGAGCCTAAAGATGAGACTGACTTGCTACAATCTGATGATAAAACTTGAAATGATCAGGAGTTGCTTCTTATGGATGAGCAAAGAAAGTGGTTTCTTGAGATGAAATCAACTCCTGGTGAAAATTATTGAAATGACAACAAAGGATTTAGAATATTATGTAAACTTAGTTGATAAAGCAGTGGCAGGGTTTCAAAGAATTGACTCCAATTTTGAAAGAAGTTCTACTGTGGGTAAAATGCTATCAAAAGGCATCGCATGAGCTGGTGCAGCCACTCTGGGAAACAGTATGGAGGTTCCTCAAAAAGTTGAAAATAGAGCTACCATACGATCCAGCAATTGCACTACTGGGTATTTACCCCAAAGATACAAATG